TGCCCGTAAATTTTTCCTATATCTTTTAAATATTTTGTGAGAATACAATTAGTGTAAGGCAATGAATGTAAAGTGTAATTAAATATGTTATTGTACGTCTAGTATGATAGTGTTATATCCCCTTTTAGGTCTTGAATTTGTTTGTTGTACTGAATTAGTCATTAGGGTCGATATCATTTTCTCTGATATTGCAGAGGTTGTTTGTGTTTGGGCACATTTCAAGTGTGTTTACTTCTTCTTCGTTTTTTAATCTATTATAGTAGTGTCTTACCATAATACATGTATTTGAAATCTTAGTTTCTTAGTTTATTTCCTTTTCTTAATTTTAAAAGTTTCATCACTAAAAATATGTGACTCGTGTATTTTAACACGAAATGTAACTTTTATCATGAAAGTGAACAATTTGTGACGAAATAAATGTTGTAGCTAAGACTTTCGTAGCTAAATATCATATAAATAGAAATGACTAATTATTAGGCCGTATGATTATTGATAGAAATGACCAATTTAGTTGAAGGGAGGCTATATATTATGCGTAATGAAGGTGTGTCCTGTGCATTGAACATTTACTTAGTAAAACAATAATTCTTACTTTAGAGTCGGTAATGGTCTTAGACTTGAACTATGATTGCTTAAGCAAAATAAAGTATCATTGCTTACACACAATAATCAAGGTGTAGACACAATTAGCTTTAATAGCCAACACATATATATTTGTACTATCCCAATTTATTACTTTCATGAGTATTAATTTTGAGAATATACATATTCTCCCAATTCTTATAGAAAGTGGTTTACTTTTACGGTGGCACAGATGAAATATGTCAAATGTATTCCTATATATAATTTTAGCACCCCACTGATATATACGAGACACAAACATTCATTAACTAAGAGTTAAAAGACTCTAACATCTACAAATAATTAATTAATTATAGGATAAACGAACTCACATGGAAGGAATATATATATATATAATAGTGCATTTGTAAAAGAGATAAAACTTGACTATTAAATGAAATTAAAAGTAGTTAATTATCCACTCACACCATTTATTTATTATATAATAAGATAATAGTTAACATAAAGATACATGACCTTTTATACTCGCTCCGTATGATCGATATGAGTATTTATTAGATATTTATTAAGTGAAAGAGTCATGCATTATTAAGGAGTGGAGAAATAGAAATGACCAAGCTTGACTATATCATAACTGCTACTAAACTAAATGTCCCCACAAGTGCTGATAAAACTACACCACCCACACCCTGAATGATGTTTCCAACAAGCATGAGGGGAGCTTGAAGAATTCCTGAGGTGGGCAACAAAGTACAATTAACAATTGGGAGAGCAACCCTTGCAACACATGAAAGAGTTGACGTATTTCCAAACAAAATATTTGTATTGGTGCTCAATGTAACATTTATTAAACCTTCAACATTTGTGATCACTTGAGCAAGGGTTGTGTTGCCACAAATAATGGCCACTATTCCACCAATGGGTGGTACTATCCCAATTTATAATTACTTTCATGAGTATTAATTTTGAGAATATATATATTCTCCCAATTCTTATAGAAAGTGGTTTACTTTTACGGTGGCACAGATGAAATGGTGGTACAATCGGTGGTACTTGACCAACCGGTGGTATAATGGGTTGGCCAACAATGGGACCAAGAATGGGACCAACAATGGGAATGGGACCAAAAATGGGACCAAGAATGGGACCGAGAAAGGGGAATTGAGCATGGGCTAGAGGACTGGTGGTGATGATGGAAAGCAGCATAATGAGGAAAACAACACACATTTTTGAAGACATGATGATGATGATGATTTGATAATACTTTTTTCTATTCAATATCCCCTTTTTATAGTGCTGTTTTTTATTTACTCCACCCCTACCTTAACTTACCCCCCCCCCAACCTATATAAATGATTAAAAATGTATTATACGTAGATATATTATGTTCCATGACTAAATAATAGAGTATTATTAAAGACGTACAACTTCCAATATTTCTCTCACATATATCTTCATCAGTTAGGTTCAAACTCATCAACTTGAAGATCATTGGGACCATAGAAATTAATTAATTCACTATCATTTGACTTGTCATGATGTTTAACAACCACATAAAAGATTTTTGAAAATAATTGTGTGATTGTAAATCATTTCATTAAAGGTAGAAGAAAAAAGAATTTTTAATGTTATATTGTTTTTTAATATAGTAAAGTACATTATTTTTTAAACGGAAAGGAAGTTTTTAAAACTTATTTTTTTTCTTTCTCTCTTTAAATATATACTAGTATACGTACCTGCGTGTTGCGGGTCAGTTTATAATGTAATTGTAAATACTGACTTAATGGCAATTTCAAAATTCAACCTACTATAGAAATGATATTATAAATTTTTTATTAGAGAGTATTATCATTTAGCACCTTATCATTTGACATGTTATAATAGAATACGTATGAAAATAAATCAATATATAAACTTAATAAGTTCATTGTATAAATTTGATAATTATTATTTTTAGCATTATTTAATTAATTTATTTTTAAATTATTAAAAATCATAATACTCTCACACAATCCTATGACATGGAATTAGAGGGTATTTGGATGGCTTAAAAGTTGGTTAAATCTACTTTTAAGTCAATTTTTTACTTCTAGAAGTGTTTAACACATAAAAATAACTTAAAATAAACCAAAAATAACTTTAAAAATAAGTTAGAGGGTGTTTGACAATGTTAAAAATAACTTAAAAAATAAGTTAGAAGGTGTTTGACAATGTTAAAAATAACTTAAAAAATAAGTTAGAAGGTGTTTGACAATGTTAAAAATAACTTAAAAAATAAGTTAGAAGGTGTTTGACAATGTTAAAAATAACTTAAAAAATAAGTTAGAAGGTGTTTGACAATGTTAAAAATAACTTAAAAAATAAGTTAGAAGGTGTTTGACAATGTTAAAAATAACTTAAAAAATAAGTTAGAAGGTGTTTGACAATGTTAAAAATAACTTAAAATAAATTTTTAAAAAAAGTATTATTTCAGTCACAAAGTACAAGACCATGTGTCAAGAAGGGTAGTATATCAAGGTACTATGTTAGTCACAAAACTCACATTATGTTCTTTTTCTCACTTGGAATATAATGACACAATAAATGTGCTCTTTTCATATTAGATTAAATTAAAAACTAGATATAATATTGTAACACCCCAATAGACCTAAGGTCCGGATCAAATCATGGGAGTTCAAACTACGGATGGTAGATGCTACTCGTAGATCAAAGTTCAGAAAACGGGCTATGTTTACAAGTGGTAGAA